TGGAGAAGCCCCAAGATGCAGCCCCAGAAAGGACAAAAGGGAAAAAGCTTCAAACAGAGATTGGTCTTGAAGAGCAGTTTAGCTAAAGAAACCCTCTCCGAGTTCTTGGGCACGTTTATAATGATCGTAAGTATTTCCTGATTTCCTAAATTCTGACCCAGTAATACCTCCCTAGCTGCCAAGCTGGTGGTGAAGAGTTGTTTTGTTTTTTTTGTTTTTTCTTCGAGTTAGCTATCAGATTCATCTCTTCCAGGAAGCAGCAAATTACTCCTAGGCTGTTTGGCTATTTTAGTGGCCATAATATGAGGTTTTCGTTTACTCATTGCATTTATCCATAAAACTAATGGGAGGTATAAGAAGGGGAATGAAGTACTTTCTTCATTTCATGGATTTACTCACACTCTTAAATGGCTTTGTGCTTTAAAGTCAGTTGTTAGAAAATTTTTTCATTGATTAATTGATTTGTACTCTGCTTGTTTTCTGTAAGCATTGAGGCGACTCAGTCACCTGGAATAAGCATTGACAGTCAAATAAATACAAATGGCAATAAACAGGGCACTATGACCAGTGCTTGGCAAGATCGCACTGTCAGATCACTTGACTCTTAATGAATTAGGATTTTCCCTGTGTAGAAAGGGAATAGTGTATCATACAGTACTCTAGCTTTGGTTTACATCCTTTGTTCTCTCTATTTAATTCTAGCTAGTCTCTAAAGATCTCCAATTGGACAGTTAAGAAAACCTTCTAGAGGCACTGATTCTAAGTGCCTCTTGAACATTTGTCCAGAGGCTTACTCAGCTATTAACGAGAGTCTGGAAAGTTTCCTAAAGTGGCATGAGCTCTATGTTTCATCTTGCTGCGTATTCTACCATTCTCTGAATCGTGAAGTTTTGGTGGGTGCCAGACCACTTGTGAATGTAAAATTACGGTCATGTGGTAGCTATTGATTTCAACTTGTTTAAAAACAAAAGCTAAAACTCTGCTCAAGCTTTAATATTTTAGTTATAATGTCATGTTTCTTAGGATTATAGAGAATTTCCCATAAGCCTTATACATGAAAAGTTCTTTGCTTCGAATGAATACATAATAATTTAGAAGGATAAACTTAAACCCCATCAGTTAAGCCAACATTGAGAAACAAATTTAAATTAAAAAAATTGAACTAGCTTTACATGAAGAGTGTCCTCCATCTTCTGGCCTCTGAGAGACTCTTCTTACCCAATTCACTCAAATATTTCTAGGGAGTTATGGACAATTTCTTGCATCTCCCACCTTCTCTTGGCAGTAAGCCCTGGCCCTGATTATATGCACTTTCATGGGTTGGGGGGGAGTTAGAAGGAATAGAGAGAAAACACAAGCCAATGAGTCTTTTGACTCTAGTCACTGCTTACTGGAAAATTGCTTTCAGTGAGTCCGAGACCATTGCGTCATGGTATTTGACAATCTGTTCCCAAAGAGAAGAGCAGTTGTCACCACAGACAGCTTACAGCCCACTGCAACCTGGGGTACAGAAAAGTGAAGCAAATTCAGTTAGAATTGTTACTGTTCTGCAGAAAACAAAGAGGAGGAAGTAAACTAAACATCCTTTTTTTGCAACCAAAAAAGTTAAAACCTTCTTTATTTCTTAACAAGGACTGTTTCATAACCCAGTTCTTTCTGAGTTGAGAAGGCTGAGGTTGCTTTTAGCCATTCATTGCTCTGTTCATACAACTAGTAGTGTGTCTTCCCCAACATTCACAGTGAAAACTAAAGGAATATCTTTTTTTTTTTTTAGAGGTTTTTGCTATATGGTGTGTGCACTCGCCAGAAAGACAGTCAGACAGAGAGACAGAAAGCAAGAAATCATCCCCCAGAGGGCGATGGCCATGCTGCAATCCCTTCTCCTTCATTCTCCTCTTGGGATCTCACTCATGCACATGTGCCCAATGTGAGTTTAAGCCATCGGGTCCAGGACTTGAACCGCAGTCGACCATATGGGAGTCCAGCAACACAGCCCTTATGCCAACTGCTGGTCCCAAGGAATAATATCTTAATTCATATTCTAAGATATGAAACTTTTGTATCTTCTGGCTAAAGCCAGTCATTTTCCAGAAAGATTCATTTCTATTTATACTATACATTTATTTTCTAAAATGTACCCTGCTGAAACTATAATTGTGATTAATCTTCAGTTTTGTTGAGGCTAGTGGGGATGTGTAAACAAGATGTTTCTGCATAAACATAATTTTTTTTCACCCATAAATCTTGCTCAAAGATTATTCAAAGTAATTATTTCTGTATTATAAGAAAATGTGTGTTTTACCTTTTTTTTTCCTAGTAAAAAACTTGTATGTTAATGGGGCATAAGGAAAGGACACATTAAAAAGATGAAAGAGAATATGCAGGGTTTATTAATCCTTCACATTTATGAGATTGGTTTCCCCCAGGCCCTGGTAATCAGGTGCCATTTTTCTCCCTCCTCTAAATGCTCTTTTAGGGGAAGCATCTCAAACTTATTCACATCATGATATAAAGACTGATAAGGCCTACGTTAGCATTAAGGGAAAAGACAGTTCATAAAAAATTCTTTATAAACTACAAGTAAAACCAGCAATAAGTCACACATTGAACCAGCTCAGTTTGGTCTTTTAGACAATGAGAGAGAGGCCTTCCGCTACTAGTGTCAGGGAAAAGGTCTGCAGTGCATCTTCCCTATCACAGAGGAAAGGTTTAGAAGCATTGAGCAGTAAGGGTAGGGAGCACTATGAAGCACCTAATATAAGTTCTTTAGATTCATTTGTTCAGTCCTTACAAGAGCTGCATTAGGAGGGCTTTATTATCACCCATAAACAGTTGGAGAAAATGAGGACTCAACGAGATGAAGTAACTGGCTCAACCCAGAAAAGCACTGAACTGGGATTCTTTTCATTTTAGAGCCTCCATCTTTGGTATGAATTCCCACCCACTGCTGGAATACTTCTGGGACTGTCCTTCATAGAAGGCGAATCGGATTCCCTCTGCTTCATCCGTTCCATAGTTTGGAGCCATCAGTTAGCTGTGTCTTGTTTGTGGGGCATGAGTATTTACTGATGAGACCAGTCATACCCTGGAGCCAGTGTCTGCACTTTCTGTGTTCAATGCTTCAGGCAGGAGATGAAGGTAGAGACGAGGACACTGTGCAGCCCCCTGCACCTGGGCTGTGACTTGGGGATGCCAAATTGCAGAAATTGCATTAACACTGAGACCACCCTGCAAACTAACAGTGGCCACCTGCTTCCTACTGGGTACCTGACTGTGTTGTGATCTTGGTCAATGAATACACCTCCGTGAGTCAGTTCCCTCAAAATGAGATAACATTTTACAGTACTCTTGTGAGAATTAAATGTGCTTTACCTGTAAGGTGACTGATACCTGTAAGGTGACTTGACATATACATGCTAGCTCCCTTTCCCCTTTCTAGTGCCTTTCCTTCCTCCACTCAAGACTCCTAGTATTGAAAAACAGCTCCTAGGATTAAAAACCAGCTGTCTCTACTTGAGATGCCAGCTGCTTTCCAGCATCTTCCACAGAGCTCTGCAGATACACACATAGAACTCCATAGATGTGTATTGAGTTAAAATCTCTTTCTTGAGGGGCCAGCAGATGGAGTGGTGGTTAAGATGCTGGACTAACTGACAGTGGTTTGAGTCCTGGACCCTGCAGCTTGAAAATCAAGCCTGGCACTCTGTGTGCATACCCAAAATCTTGAGAGAAGAGTGATTCATTACCAAGAGCCTCTCCTTGCTCAGGTCACAGAGTTTGTCTTGGGGTATTCTCAGCTGGATATGCTAGCTATCGAAAATCTAGAGCTTTAAAATTACTCTTACAGAGTGTGGTCAGGTCTTGTAATAGGTCTATTCCATACTAGGGAGCTTTTGAAACAAAAGACTAGTTAGCATTTAAAAGGAGCAGATTTCTTAAACTGATTAGAGACATCCATTTTCAGGGCGCAACCCAGGACAACTTTAATCTCCAGCATTATTTAAAATCCTCAGGTACTGGTACAGCTCCTAGATAGGGTGGGCAGACGTCATTGGCCCTTTTTATGGAGGAGGAGCCGAGACCCAGGCTGATGCAATCCCATATCCTCTGAATCAGTCAGAGGCAGCTGCATGGCCTCAGGCACACTTGCCTCTGGATTTCCTCTTTTTTTCCAAGGAGCACAGAGTGTTTGCTCATTGTCTAGCTTCTTGGTTTTTTTTGTTTTGTTTTGTTTTGTTTTGTTTTTTGTCGATATCTTTCTTGGAAGAGGGAGAGACAAAGGAAGATGATTAACTCCATTTCGTCAGATGAGAAGACAGGTGTAACGTAATTAAGACACTCACCCCAGGTCACCCAGCCCTGGAATGCAAGAGCTGGGTGATATTTTGACTCTAGTCATTCCTATATAGTACCACGTGATGAGATTTAACCCCTTTCCTGTGAAAGCCCAAGAGGACTTGACTAATTTTATAGCCTAAAATGCATTAGACATTGCAGGTGCTAAAAGATGATTACATAGAACAGGCACGATCACCTCCGAGACAGTTCACAGGAGATTTGCTAGCAGAGTTTTGGGATCTCTTCACCACCTGCAGATACATTCCAACCCCATGTAACAGCAGGGTGGAACAGAGGTGGTCCTGCTATGTCTCCATGGGTCTGATGGACGTGCTGACTGTGCATCACACTGAGTTTTCTCCAGTACCTCTATTTTCTTTCCTTCTTCTTTTTTTAATTTTTAATTATGTTTTTAAAGATTTTTTGGTATAAAATGTGTGCACTTGTGGGACAGACAGAGAGACAGAAAGCAAGAAATCATCCCTTGGGGGAATGGCCATGTCTCAATCCCTTCTCCTCCATTCTCTTAGGATTTGGGGCATACATGCACACACACCCAGCATGAGTTTCAAGCTGTCAGGTCTGGGACTTGACCATGGCTGACCATGTGAGAGTCCAGTGACTTAACTACTATGCCACCTGCTGGCCCCTGGTACTTCTTCTATTTTTTTGGATTCTCCCCAAGACCACCCTTTGGAGAGCAAAAGACTTCAGGAAAGTAGACTTCAAGAGACTCCACAACCCCTCCATCTTGTTTTCTGGCTCAACAGTCCCCTGCCCCTTTTCAG